TTTGCGAAAATAGTTTGAGTTCGGGAGTTAGTTACGCTTGGGGAAGGATTAGCACCCTCACGATGCCTATTTAAAATGGTACTAATTAATTATCTGTTATTTTTTAATATTGACAAAAATGGTCTTAATTTTGGTGTTTAAAAATTAATTTTCTTAGTTTTCTTTAAAAACATATTTTTAATTTTTAGTAAGGTTGGAAAATAAATAAGAACCATTTATTGAAAAATTCCTAAAAACGTTCCAATACTCTAGCAATATTAAAAAGAACTATCTTACTTAAGAAAATTTTAAGAGTTGCTACTCAGAATTCTTAAAAATCATATCCTTAGTAGTTCATATTTATTTCCATAAAATATGATAAAAACAAATTCTGTTTTCTAAAACTTATTTTTATGCTATTTATAAAAGCACGAGAAATCTTTATCAAAAATTAATCTAAATGCTTCAATACAATTTTTTTCTAAAACTCATTTCTATGCTATTTATAAAAGCACAAAAAATCTTTATCCAAAATTAATCTAAATGCTTCAATACATTTGCAGTATTTTAGATAGATTTTCTTACCTAAAGATCTCTAAAAATCACTGCTTAGATTTCTTTATGATCTAATCCTCGAAAATTTTCATCAATTTTTTATGAAAATTATTAAAAGTCATAATAATATATTATCCACAAATATATTTATTTCTTAAAAAAACTCTTATTTTTAAGAAATATTGTTCAAATTATAGAAAATACTCATAAAATGAAAATTTTTCGTGTTGAAAAGATGTTTCTAAATATTCTAATACTTTGACAATTTTTAGAAGATTTTTCTTACCTAGGAAATTTTCGAGAATCACTACTCAGATTTCTCGGAGTTCCATCATTGGAGATTTTTATTACAATTTTATTATAAAAATAATTCATGCTTTATAAATATGTATATTTTTTGTCTCTTTACGAGAATTGTTCGAATTAATTAAAAAATGAAAACAGTTTCTAAATATTTTAATACTTTGGTAATTTTTAAAAATCTTTTCTTATCTAAGAAATTCTCAAAAATTACTACTTGGACTTTCTGAGGTCCCATAATTGAAAATTTTATTTGCATTTAAAATGATGTACTGCAAACAATATGCATACGAAAAACATACATTGATTATGTTTTAATCTTCTTTAATTATTTCATAATTATCAATAAAAACTTTAGAAAAGAACATAGTAAATAAAATCTTTTATTGAAAAATTTTCTAGATACCTCAATATTTTGGCAGTATTTTAAAAATTTTTTCTCACTTAGGGATTTCTTAAGAATCTTTCCTCGAATTTTTTTAGAATCTCATTTTTGAAAATTTTCATTTGTTATTGTTAACACTTGTGTTGTGTAAATAAAATGACAAACATATATTAAAGTAAGAAGGATTAAATTAAAACAAATATAGGAATCCAATTAAAATAAGTATAAAACTAAACTTGCAACTAGACTTAAACAACATAAAAATATACGCATGATTAAGCTTAAATGTACATGAAAATAGACCTTTATTAGGGACCAATTTTATGTCTATATTAAAAATTTATTTAGAGAATTTCAACTAAAACAACCTAACCTATTGAAAGTCAACAAAAGATATGGTCTTCCTTCCCCACGCCTTGCAATCTTGACAAAATAATGCCATGTTCCCTACGCCATGGAAAACAATGCCATTGTCCCTACGCCATGGAAAACAATGCCATTTACTCTATCAAGCAAATGGAAAAAAATGCCATGGTCCCTACGCCATTCTATAGAAAAGCTTTGTCTTATTCTTTAGATGGCTTTCATTCTTTGATACCTCTTTCATTCTTCAATATCAAAAAAGTCAAGAAAACCGTGTAGTCCCCACCCATTTTAAACAAAGCTCTAGTTTTGTCCTATCCATGGCTTCTTCATTTTAATAATTTTTTTTCTATTTTTCCATCCTAAAAACCATGCCACCACCCGTAGCTTTTTAAACTTCTACAAATAAACTGCATCCAACAATTCACATACAGAAAAACAAACCCTTAAAGAATTGAGACCCTTTACTTCCATGGACCAATTATAAAGCATGCATTATATATACCATGTGCAAAAGTGAAGAGAAGAAAGAACAAGATGCGTGAATAATAATGAGAAGCCAACAAACATAACAAAAAGGAGGTTTTAAGCTTTCTTGCATCATTTCATGCAGAGATTAAAAACAATAGCACCCATATAAGATGAACTTTTAAGCTTATATAATAACATACATACGGAAACAAGTAGAAGAAAACAAATATAATAACCTTTAAACCCTCGACAAACAACCTACAAACAAGGACATACCAGAATCAGCAAAAGTTTGAAGCTTTAAGCTTCCTTAAACTAACAAGATTTCAAGTTTCATACAAACCCTATACCGAAACAAACATGCAAAAAAAAAAAAAAGGACTATTTTTCTTAATCTTTCATGGAAGAACATGAATATCCAAAAAGTTCAGGAAGACAACCTTTCCTCCCTTTTCTTTTTTTTTTTTTTTGCTGGCAGCTTCCTCTTCTTTCTTCCTTAGGCAGCTTTCTACTCCTTTTTGGTATAATCCTCTCCTTTTCTTTTTTCTTTTTCCCTTCTCCTTCACCTCCTTTATTCGGCTAGCTTTCTCTTCTTTTTTTTTTTTCCAGCAGTTTCTTTCTTTCCTTCCTTTCTTTTTTTTTTTTTTTTTTTAGCATTGGGTCCCTTCTTCCCCTTCTTCTTCCAGCCTCTTCTCCTCTAACCCCTTCGGTAGACCCCTCTTTCTTTCTTTTCAAGAGTCAGCCCCTTAAAAAAAGATCTTTTTCTTGGTGAATATAGACCCTTGGATGAAATCTCATCCAAGGGTCAAAGTTTTTGTTTTTTTCTCCTTTTCAAGGAGCCACATTTGGTCACTAGATTAAAATCATTAAAACATCCAATGATCTATATTATTCATTGCAAAAGTTGAATTTTTATATTTTTCAAACTTATGAAAAGATCATTTTATTTATAGTATAAAGTTTTTAGTATTTAAGTAATTTTCTTATAAATTAATATTCTTATGCTCATTTTTAAGATTTTAAAACACCAAAATCATGAAATATTCTGAAATTGAGATCTAAAAAATTTCATGAAAATCCGAGCTCGAAAAAGCAAAATTACGAAAATATCCTTATAGAGGTATTAGGTAATTTCACATTTTTTAGAGTACTATTGTGATTTCAAATGTACTAAAAATCATGAAATATTATAAAATTAAAATTTAAAAAGTTTTATAAAAATTAGACCTCGAAAAAATCAAATTACAAAAATATCCCTTGTAGGGGTATTTTGATAATTTTATACTTTCACAATACAATAAAATTTTTAGTGTTTTAAAAATCTCTAAATTAAATTTTAAACCACATTAATTCTAATTAATTTATGAATTTTAAGGATTAACATTGGTTCTATTTATTTTAGTCAAATTTTATGCAATTTTGACCAAAGTTAACTTTGAAGTTTATTTATTTTATTTATTTTTTACTTATCATGCATTCACGATCCATATAAATCTCATGCAAAAGAATTTCGTAATACTCATATGGGTTTTTTTTTTTATTTATTATGTCTAAATATTAATACATTTTATGGGCTCTTTAAGGAGTCTTTTTAAAGGAATTAAATAGATTTTGTTTAAGTATGTTAAAATATTTCGGATAAAATTTGTATCTACATAATCCTCTAACAATTTTTTGTGTCCCATATTAAGTGTCACTGAAACTTGAAAAAAAAAGGATAACTTTAATAGATTACTAAATTAAAGATGATAATAGGATAGCATTTATATTTTGATATAGATATATCCCCTCAACTGATACTAGTACCAGCAGTGGTCACATTAATTTTGCTTTCTGTCTTGTGAAATGACTTCCATAATCCAGCCAAGTTGATGCGGTCTTTTTTATTTACATTTTTTTTTTGTAAAGGTCTTAATTAATTGATTATGAATTAATTTTATTATGTTTGTTATTTATTTGGTTAATTAATGAATTATAAAATATTATTTATAATTTTTTTAAATTTAATAAAAAAATATAAACAAATAAAATATAAATTTATTTATGAATTATTTATTAAATATTTTATTAATTTTTACAAATATATTAAATATGAATAAATTTTATTTTATTTGTGATTTACATATTTCGTTAATAAAATTTAAAATATTATTTATAATCATTTATTAAATTTAATAGATAATATAAACAAATAAAAAAATCGAATACACTCTAAAACTACTTTTCAAAAAATATTTTGGTTGTTTACATCCAAGCGTTTGAAAGTTAGGAGCAACAATGTGGCTTCCAGTTATTCCTTTGAACCGCAAAGCAAGGAAAGCGTCGGTGGGTGCAAGTTAGCTAAACAACAGCTGGCCTATCAAATTTCCCACAACTCTTTTCTCAATGTTGGGTCTGCTACGTTCATTTTCCTTTCATTTTAATATGCATAAGAATAAAAATTAGTATTTTTTTTAATTAATTAAAATTTAAAATTTTCAATAAAATGGATGAATTATCATTTATAGGACACGATTTCTTTTAGTATAAAGAATATTATAATAAAGAAAAGAATTGTAGATAATAAAATTATTAAATGAAAAAAATTTCTAAAATAAATAAAATTTTAATTAACCTTAACAATTTCTTACGGGCCCCTTTGGTTGAAGTACCTTTCATGAATTATAACATTTTTATTTTTTTATTCAAAACAATTATAACGTTTTTAATTTTACTTATAAATATTATGCCGATATGATCCCTTGCTATATTTCTTTTTTTAAATGAGAATGAGTACACCTAAAAGAGAATGTACTTACACAATACAAAGACAAGAAGGAAAAAAAAAATTAATGCATGATTGACTTCTCACTCGGTTTAGTGGAACGGTAAAAAATATAAGTCGACAAGAGGCAAAAGTGAGAAAAAAAAAATTGAGCTTTTCCATCCTGCTAATATATATCTTGCTTGCTCTTTCTTCTTGCCAAACTACTCTCTCTCTCTCTCTCATATTTTGTATTTTGCTCATCAAATTCTACATTTACATCTCCATTCTAAGGTACACTTTCTTGTTTCTTGATTTAATTTATTGTTTTATAGTATATTTAGTGCAGGTTTTGACTGAAATAATTACAGACGTTCTTCTAATCAATTAGTAAAATATTAGAGTTTTGCTTTTAATGATTAAAATTTAATTTCTAGCTGTCTCGACCTTTATTATTCATTTTGTTTGCTCAAATTCCAAACTCATATTTTATCTTGCAGTAAATCCTATAGTAGTTTTGATCTAGTTCAATTCAGGGCATGGTCCAAATTTAACAAAGTTGTAAAAGAAACAGTTTATATTTAAAAATAAATTCTCATTAGGATACTTTTCAGCTAATATATTGTTATTATTTTTTTTATAGTAAGAAATTAAACGAAAAAAATCGACATAACAACTGATCGGAAGCATATATTAAGGTATGATCGCTCTTTATTCAAAATTTGCCTTTTGTTTTTTGTTTTTTTTTTTTGCCCAAAGTTTACTCTTGAATGTTTTGAATGAGAATTAGTTATAAGTGTATCTGTAATTTTTTTTTGTTTTAACTTTTCTCTCATTTTAATGTATTTTTGTTTTTCTTATACTTACACTTGTGTTGTTATTATTAATACATTCCTCTCATATACATAATGTTATACCCCTCCAAAATTTTTATTCCCAATAGTTAATTTTCATGAAAATTAAAAAATAAATTCTAATGTATTTTATATTAAAATTTTTTTATTATTATGAAATTAATATCCCATGATTTTTTTTATTTCAAAAAATAAAAAAAGAGCTTTTGGTATTGAAAATTGAAAACAAAAGTTTGTGACATAAAAAATACAAACAAAACAATATTGGACGAAGAGGATCGTGTAAAATTATGATTGGTAGTTTAGAATATTATGAGTGAGAATTTCATTTCGCGATTTATGTATCTATACCATGTAAAATATTAAAATTTATACATTTGTATCATGTTTTACATAAAAATTGTATGTCACAATTCGTGTTAATACAAAAATATTAATTATATATTTTTTTATTTTGTTAAAAAACTATATAATTATTATCAAAATTTTAAGCCATATCTCTTTCATATCCTTTTTTTATTGTGTTTGTATTATATCACTGTATTATATTTTAAATTATCAAGTATAAGTGAAATCCTTTATCTCACATGAAGGTTATGAATATATATTATATGAAGATAATTCACATTTTAGAAGATAACCTTTTTCTCTTCTTATCTTATAGTTTGAAGAGTTTGAGGTCTTTCTATATTCTAAAGCTATAATATAGCTTATTTAAAAAAAAAAAAAAAAGAGTTAGGTTAAATTATGTTAGAAGTTCATGTATTCTACCAAATTTTGGAATTTAGTCAATAGATTATAATTTATATAAATTTAATCACTATACTATTTGATTTAATAATTTTAGTTCAATCACTAATTTCAATAATTTTTTGATAAAAGTACTAATGTGACAATTAACTTGATGATGTTGTTGTTGACTTTGTGAGAAAGCAACTTAGAAAGATGAAATCAATTGCTAAATTACGCAAATGATTAGTTTGAACTTTAGTCCATTTAGTATAATTTTATAAAAATATTATCCATGTACAAGTTGAATTTAATAACGTTGGTCCAATTAATAAAAATAATATCTTTTTACAATTTTTTAAAAAATTAGATTTTAATTTTTTTAAAAAAATAAATATTTTGAATTTTCAGTTTTTAAAATATTAAATTTAATACTTTTAATTTTTTTAAAAGCATATTTTTGAATTTTATAAAATTTGATTTTTTAAAATTAAATATTTTGAATTTTTTTTCAAAATTTTCTAGATGTTTGAAAAATACTAAATTTGAAATTTGAAATTTTCAATCTTTTAATTTTTTAAATTTTAGTTTTTTGAAAGTTTTATATTTTTTTTAAATTTTAGCATTTTATTTAAAAAATATTTAATTTTAAGAATTTTAATTTTTTAAAAGATTTTATAAAATTTTCTATATTTTTTAATTATACTATTTTATAATTTGTTTATATTTTTGACATTCTTTTGTTTTTTTAAAAAGAGTTTATAAGTTCTAAAAGTTTTTTACATGTTTTTTTTTTATGTTATTTAGTTAAAAATAAATCGAAAACAGAAGTCATTTATGTTTCATTATTATTCTATTTTACACTAGATTTTTATGCTCTTACACCTTAAATATGTCAAAACATAATAAATTTTAAATTCTCCTATCTTTTTTATAATCTATTTATTGATTCATTTAAATATTTAGAATATATAAAATTTTTAAAAACATAAAAGATTAGAAAATATAAAAAACTTTATAAACAACAAACTAAGATTTATATCCTATAACTCCATGGTTGGCTGTATGAAAGGCCAACAAAAAAAGAATCATATTATATCATAGTTTTGAATATTCTTTCATCACCCATTTCTATATATATATAACCTTTTCATTTACTTTCTTAATTCTCATATCATTTTTTATTATTTGCATTCACATTTTTCATAGTCTACCTCTGAAAGTTTTGATCTTTTCTAAATCCAGAAGCTCATTTTTCTTAATTAGTGCACATATAAGTTTATGTTTTACATGTCTAAATCATCTTAAATGATCTTTTTTCATAGTTTCCTCAACTCAAATTACTCTTAATTTTTCTTGAATATCTTAATTTTTTATTTTCAAATGTTAAAATTTCAAAAAATCAAAAAATGAACTTTATTTTTAAAAAATTTAAATATTGAAAAAAAGTAAATTTAATATTTTAAAAAATCTAAGAAATTTCTAAAATATTCAAAATATTAAACTTTCTTAAAATATAAAATCTAATTTTAAAAAAAAATTAAAATGAACTATTAAAAAATTAAATTTATTATTTTAAAAATATTAAAATTTCTAAAAATTTCTAAATATTAATTAAAAAATAAAATTTGATTTAAAAAAGCAAAAAAAAATTATTAGTAATGGGACAAACATTATTATATTCAATTTGTAAAAAGACGAGATATTTATAACTTAAGACTAAAGAGACTAAATTTCAAATATCATACAAGTACATAGACCTTTTGTATAGTTTAATAATTGATTTTATTCATTCAAGTCATCATAACAACAAAGTCAACATCACATCAATAAAGTCGATAATCACATTATCAAGTCAACAATCACATCAATATTTTAATGATAAAAAATTAATGAAGTTAATGATTTGATAAAAATTATCAATCACAATAATATAAAGATTAAATTTATATTAATTACAGTATATTGATTAAATTCCTAATTTTGAAAGAATACAAGGATCTCTAACTTCACGCTTCATTGCGAAAGTGTAGTAGAGATATATTTTATATATATATATATATAGATAGACGTTTAGACATTGAGCAATGAAAAAGAGAAAATGATTTCTCTGTTAATCTTTTTGTTCTATGTTATGTATAATATTTCATATATTTTGACAAGAATATTAAAATTAAAAAATATAGTATTTCTTGTTTTGCAACTACATTTTCATTTATTTTGTGGTACTTTTCTCTTTTTTTCTTTATTTTGTGTTGAATATTTTATAAAAAAGTTTATAATTTATAATAAACTAAAAATTATATACTTTAGTAAATGATTAATAAAAATACAATGCTTAACATAACATGAAAAAATAAGAAGAAAATGTAATCATAATATATGCAGTACTATTTTTTTTTAATTTAAATATTTTATAATATTTCAATTTGTATTATTTTTTAATATATTTATATTAAAATAATTATAAAATGTTCAAAACAATGAACAAATTTAATAAAAAACAGTCCATCCTAACAATGGGATTTAATTCTAATTTAAAACAATATTTTAAAGGAGTCTAGACCATTTCAAATTGAAACTGGCACATGTCATTTCATATTGAGGCATAATTTTTTGACATTTGGCATTGAATGATTTGCTTTAATAATTGCTAGAAAAAAGTAAAATCTTAAAAAAAAAAAAGAGGCTAGGATGAGAGAAACGTAAGAAAATTCTAGAAATTGGTGAGAGAAATAAAAGAAAAAGAGTGGAAAGAGTGGAATTGAAAGAAAGAAAGAAAGAAAGACAAATTAAAATGGAGAAAGTGAAAGGGGAGAAGATCTAGTTGGATGAAAGATGAAAGGAAAAAGAGAAAGAGAAAAAGGGCTAACAGCAAGCCAAATTGTAGATAAACAAATGAATTTAGAAAAAAGACCTAAAAAACAAAAAATATAAAGGAAAAATGACTCTTGATGGTTTTTTTTTTGTTTGCAACTTTCATGTTTTAATTCTTTTAATTTTTAATTTTTTTGTCAATTTGGCTTTAGATTTGATTTTTTTTTTTATGTGTGTTTAAAGATTCTATTGAAAAAGAGACCCTGGTAGCCTTTTTATGATATCTTGGTAGGTTTTTTCTTATATTTTTTGATTTTCTATTATCTTTGGGTTTTTTTATCAATTATTTTTTCATTTGATTTTTTCTTTTGTTTTTACAGATTTTGATTTCATTTTGGTGATTATTTCTCTGGATTTCATCAGGTAATATATTTGATTTTTTTTATTATTCAAACTATTTTCTATTATTACTCGAGTAACAAGTGAAATTGCATGAATAATATTTGTTCTTATTTTCTAACGAGTATTTTTTTGGTCAATTCTCATAAGTATGGTTCAATCATTAACTTTGAGTACCAAACATGTAGAAACCCCATTATCAGCATATGTTAATATATTATATTTTTCGAAGGAATTTTATTTGTAATTTAATAATTTAATAATATTCTTAATGAAGTGTGGGCTTTAATTCAAGCATAGATAAAATTAAGATTTTTAAATGGTCTAATTGGTTGAAGTTTGTCAAATTACGATCGTTTAGGCTTTAACTTATTTGGAAATAAGTAAGTTTCTCATTCATCAATAAGAAAATTAGCATTTTTAAGTACAAGGTGTTTAATAATCTCTAGTCACTCTTCAATCCATTGCTTAGAAATCTAAGTGTCCAACACATATTTTGCTATTCTATGAGCTACTTCATTCCCACTTTTCCTTACATGATTAAATCTGTTCGAGGAAAAAGTTGCTACCAAGGTTTTTACTTCTTCTATTATTATGGTTATGGAAGACAAATAATGGTTTGGTTGACTCATTTTTTTGATCATGGAAAGAGCATCCCCTTTTAGAATCATGCTAGTGAACCCATTTTCCTTTGCAAAAGCTAAGCCTTGAGCCACTAACTTTGCCTCTACACATAAAGCATCAGTTTTTCATGGCACAATTTTTGTATAGACCCCTCTCACCTGACCCGCAGCATCCTTCACCATTATTCCAATTCCTCCAAGTCTCCTATTTCTATCCATCGCACCATCAAAGTTTACTTTAAACTACCTTTATTCTAGTGGTTGCCATTTTTGTTAAAGTGACTCCCTTTTAGCTGATTGCTACTCTTACGTTTGTGTATATTCATTCAGATAGTTCTTCACATAGGTTGCTATTAGTCTGGCCTTTTTTCATACTTTCCCATAAACCTTTCTATTTTTGCCTGTCCATGTAGCCCATATTGCTATCATAAACAAGTGAAAATTTAAAGATTCACTCTTCCTTATCACATGGAGTAACCATTCCAAAGTGTCTCTATATTCCTCTGCATCTTCTTCCCTGTTAAACTTTAGATGTTTCCACACTTCCTTTGCATATGGATATATTCGAACAGTGCATGAAAAATAGTTTCCTTTGCCGCTCACATCTTATGCATGTAGCTCTTTCGATTATCCATTTCCTATCCAAGTTTTGATTTACTGGATTTATTTTCTTGCTAACTTTCCATAACAAGATTTTGACCTTTGATGGAACTAATGCTGTCCAAATGTTCTGCCAGAGCTTCTTGCATGAAATGTGGTTCTCATTTCTTCCCCTTCATCTTGCCAATCTTATGCCATTCTTTATAGTAGCCTGTAGCCACTTTTGACTGTATATACCTTTTTATTATCATAATGCCAAACCATTACATCCTTCGAACCTAGTTTGCTTAAAGGCAGTGTATATTACTACGGCTCCTTTAGTTGAAACATTTCTTGGATTAGGTTCCATTGCTAATAGTGTGTATCATCATCTATCAAAGTTAAGACCAAGCTATTCTACTCTCATAATCTTTTTGGTGATTTGATTAAAAATCCTTCATTAGATGGTAGTTATTTGTCTTTCCAAATCTTAACCATTTTTCTATCACCAACTCTTCACCTTAGTCCTAGTTTGAGCAAAGCTTTTGTTGCCCAAATGCTTCTCTATGTCATAGAAGGTTGGTACCCTAGCTCTAAATCCATGAAAGACACATTTGTAAAATATCTTACCTTTAAAATATGGTGGATCAATGTTCTTGTGTTGGTCGCTATCCACTAGCCTTGTTTTGCTAACATGGCTTTGTTAAAATCACTTGGATCCTGAAAGCCCATTCCTCCATTAAAACTTGGATTTACACATCTTCTTCCAACTAAAGCTAGTGGATGCCTTTCTTTTCCTTATCGTAATGCCAGCAATATTTGCTAATCAGCCTATTAATTTTATCATGTAATGATTTTGGCAGTTTAAAATAACTCATGGCATAAGATGAAATAGCTTGGAGTATAGAGTTAATGAAGACCTCTTTTCCCCCTATGACAAAGTTTGTTGTCCTCATCCACTTGTTTATGCACTGATTCTTTCTTTTAGCTCTCGAAAGGCCTCATTTTTTTTTTTATCTTTCCTTATCATCGAAGGAAGTCCCATATATTTATCCATGTTCATGGTATCTTAAATCCCGAACAAATATTTTATTTCATTATTTTGTTCCTCTCTCATGTTATTATTGAAAAAGAATGTTGATTTATCAAAATTAATCTTTTACCCTAAACTTTTCCTAAACCTTTTGTAGCATGTGCTTCACCCTTTCACTTTCACTTTTGTTGGCCTTAGCAAATAGTAAGTTATCATTCGCAAAGAAAAGATGAGTAACTCTTGGGCCTTGGCAACTTATTTTGACACCACTCATGAGAGTTTGGTTCTGCTTCTTCCTTAATAATGATGATAGACCCTCTATGTAAAACAAAAATAAATAAAGCGATAGAGGATCTCTTTATTAAAGTCTTTTTCCTGGTCTAAAAGCATTAGTAGTTTCACCTTTAACAACAAGTGAATATGAGATCACCTTTAATAACCAACCACTAGCATAATCTAATTAGGATGGAAACCTAACCTACCCATGATACTAATTAAAAAATCCCACTCCACTTTGTTATAAGCTTTACTCATATCTAGTTTCAAAGCAAATGAACCTTCTTTCCCTTTTTTTTTTCAATTTTAGATTGTGTAACAACTTATAGGGTACTAAAACATTATCAGTTATAAGGTTATCTAGAAGAAATGGACTTTGTGATTCGCTGATACATTTAGGATGAATTATTTGTAGCCTATTCACAACAACCTTAGAGATGATTTTGTAAATAATATTACAAAGGCTAATGGGTTGAAATTAGGCTATATTCCTAGGATCTTTCATCTTGAGAAAAAGAAAAATATTAGTATGATTTATATCATCCATATCTTTTTCCCCTTTCAAGCATGCTAAACAAAAAGTTATAACATTATCATCCATTATATGCCAAAAATGTTGATAAAATAATGTAGGCATACTGCCTGGTCTAGGTGATTTGTTGGGTTGCATATGTTATATTGTAGTTTGAATTTCTTTTACCTTGAAGTATGCTAGTAGGAGTGTGTTCAACTTATCGTAACACAAGGGTCTACAGCCTCTATAATGTCTTCACATGTAATGGTTGTCTTGGAGATGAAAAGCTTTTTAAAGTATTTAGTGGTAATTTACTAGATTTTATTCCCCTTTTCACACCAAACACCCTCTCAATCCTTTCACCCTTGCATTGTATTTTTCTTTTTCCTAGCTAAGGCCTGATTATAAAAAAAAGATGTGTTCTTGTCCCCCTCCTTTAACTAGTTTGCTTTAGCCCCTTTGCGACCCAAAAACCTCTTCTTTCTCTAACCATTTATTCAATTTATTTTTAAGTGATTGTTCTCTCTGTAGGACTTCATCTATTGGTGTCAGTTATGGATGTGATGTAGCTTTTTTCTAAGTCATCCTATATCCATCTATAGGCTTCCAAAAGTTTCCTTATACCAGTTCCCTACCAGCAACCAATACATTTCAACCTGTCCAGAAATGGCCTTTGACAACTCTCGTTGTATGTGTCATTCACTATTTGCTTACTATCTTTTTCTTTGACCCATATTGTTTTGAAACTAGCCCTTCTATTTGCTATTCGATCCTTCTGTGAAGGGATCTTTTTTTCGATAGTCACCCTGATTGGCAATGATCCGAGATTTAAGCCTTTAGATGTTAGACTTTATAGCATGGGAATCTATCACTCCACTGTTTGTTGCCAAGCTCTCAGTCAAGTCCTCATGTTATTAGCCTACTATGTTCCCCTCTCCCATGTAAACCACCTTCCATAAAACCCCATGTCCTTAAGTTTGCTATCTTCTAAGGCTTTCTTGAAATCCACCATCTGTCTTTCCAATCTCATTGTTTCTCTCAATTTTTCATAACTCTATAAGATTTCATTTAGGTCTCCTATAATAGCCATGGGTCATTTGATTGCCTTGCTAAATTACTCCTCAATGCCTAGGACTTATTCCTTTTCTTCATGTTTGGTTCACCATAAAACCTTGTCAATCTTTATTTGCCTTGCCTCGTTCCATCATCCATATCCATATCTATATGAGCTTTAGATAAGTTGCTTAAGTTAAACTCAATTTTTTTCCATAAAGCTGCTAAACCACCGCTACTTCTTTCAACACTTACACCAATACATCAATGCATACCATATTCCTTTTTACTCGTTTCATTTTTTTTCATGTAGTTTTATGTTGCTTAAGAAAACTACACGAGGTTTTTGCCTATTCAATAAGTATCGAAGGGCTCGAGTTGCATGTGGGTTCTGAAGCCTATTACAATTTTGTGTTAGGTACCTCATTTTCCTTAACAGTATTGGTTCTTAGTCTTCACTGATAAAAATTATAGACTTGCTTCCTCATCTTTATCTTGTTTTACTTTTCTTGATTTGGACATCGACCCCTATAAAATCATATTCTTATCTATGTTTTTCCTTTTCCCAACGACACATTTTGTAACCTTTTCTCTTTTGCCTATTGGATGTGACCTAGCTTTTTTCTTCCACATGTTTTTGCCATTCATTTTGCTATTTGAGCCTTCTATTCCTTTTCTTTCAATACTACTTCAAATTTTGGTGAACTGTGCACTTTAACCACTATATTTCATGCAGTTCAGCCATGTCATTAGTATTAGCACTTTGCATGTTCTATCAACCCCTATCATATGCAATGTTACCTTATCTTTCCCTTTTAAGGTTTTCTCCTTTAATTATGCTCCAACTATACCATGGAATTTGCCACCATTTAATCCCCTAATAACTCTATCCCCATGATTTCTTTTTTTTTTCCTAATTCTTGCCCTTTTTCTGATCCATAATTAT